ACTACAGTTTGGGGATGCAACATCCATTTAATCAATGCACATAGAGTAGATGGAAAAAGAAAACTAATTAGCAAGACAGAGTGTCCAAAATAAAAGTTTAACTTACGGACTACTTTTGATCAAATGCACACAACTGCTTCTATCAAGTTAAAAATTAACAGACCCATAGAAATCAAGGAACTATACCAGGCTTGAGCATGTTTTACAGGATGAAAAACAACAGAGAGCAAATAAGAGGTAACTCACACAATACATTCCACTATTTATGACCTATGAGTCAGACAGGTGAGTTCTGATCCTGGGAGGTACTTCACTGCCTTTTGCAATGGTTGAATGCCTTCAAATCACACTAAATTGAGAGTACTCAGCGTCTCTCATTCATGGCTTTGTCTAATTAAACTGGCTCTGTTCACCCCATGAGGGGCAACGGAGAGAGGGAACAAAATAAAGAATATCTTTCTGAAGAAAAATGTAAGTGTAATGAGGTACATAAACCCAACACTGGGATAGAAGGAGCAGTTCTTGGCCTACATAGTCCCACCCTATTGCACCAGCAGAACCTGCTCCAGCTGGAGCAGGAGTTTAAAATAGAGCTGGACAGCTCAGAAGGGCGAGGAGGAGGGATAAGAGATAGGATAGAATAGGAGATGGACTGGTAGGGAAGCCCAGGCTCTCAGGTTTGCTGTGAGGGTGGTATAAACCCCTCTCTCCTTGAGATAAGGGGATTAAAGACATTGTAAGCACTGAAGTAAGGATGTGAGGCCTTTGGGGGCCCTCAGTTGGGCTGGAAACTCCTTTTTGGGGGGCAGGGGGACTTTGGACTTCTATACTTCGTTGGACTCTATCCCAGAAAGGGATGATTTCATGGGTGACCTGGCTAGAGGGCTGAGTTAGAATCTGTGATGCTGGATGACCAGGTCAGATCAGGACCCCAGGCCAATTCACTTGTGTATTAGTACAGATCAAAGTAATGTGTAAGTATGTATTGAGATGTTTAAATGTCATGAAAACTAGTGGAATGTTATGTATTGTTTTCACTTCTTTGTTCCTATTATAATGTAATAGCAAACATTTACTTTGTGTGTACCCCTGTAACTAAAGAATCCAAAGAAATCTTGTGAAATACTAATGAAGGACTTAAGGACTTTAACAGAAAATGTTAATTTCAAAGCAAGTGGCAGTTATGTGATGGTTGGAAATTAGAAGGCTATGTGAATTCCTCACTCATCATCAAAGGAAAAGTCCATCTGGGTAGCGACATTGTCAGCTTGTTTTCTGTGTGAAGATACTATAAATTTGGATTAAAAGAAAGACCCTTTATCTCTGGACTGTTTGGATTATAACAGGACAGAATAACTAAATCAGAAGACGGAGATCCCCAGAGTTATTCCTGGTAGCCCTGAGAGATCTTTAGGAAAATGGCAGATTACTATATCTCTGCTACCATTTGGAATTATAGACTATGATTCTCTTGTATATATATTTTACCTGCTTTCAACAACTCATTGTTTTTCCTAGCTAATAAACCTTTAGTTAATTTACTATAGAATTGGCTGCCAGCATTGTCTTTGGTGTAAGATCTGGAGTACCAATTATTGTGGGGTAAGTGACTGGTCTCTTGGGAGAAACCTGATGTGGTGTGATTTTAGATTTAAGTGAACTTTTATCACAAAGTCCAGTTTGTCTCGGTGATAAGACAGGCTGAAGAATCTAAGGGGACTGTCTGTGACTCCATGGTAAGACTGGTATAGTGATCCAGGAGTTCACATTTGTTACTGGCTTGGTGAAATCTAATTATAGAACACACCACCAGTTTGGGGTGTCTGCCCTGTTTTCTGACAGCCTGCCTTCAGGTAGGCACTCACAGTCATGAGCGACTCCAGACAGTGTGACAGTATCTACTCGAAGAGAGACTGCCACCATGCTGGAGTGACCACTGGCAGGTAATGCTGGAGATAGGGGACAGTTGCGACCCAGGGACCTAACCACTTGCCCGTACCACTCGTAATCAACAGCCCCGTCATAGCAAGGAAATTTTTTTTTAAATAGAATATGTTTGTGTGAAATATTCAGATGGAATGAAAAAGAGTGTAGTGATTAATGGGTCAAATAAATGATAAATTTGTAGAACCTGCAGGTAGCTGGAAAGACCTAAATACAGTAACTCCTCTCTTAACGTTGTAGTTATGTTCCTGAAAAATGCGACTTTAAGCGAAACGATGTTAAGTGAATCCAATTTCCCCATAAGAATTAATGTAAATGGGGGGCGTTAGGTTCCAGAGAAATTTTTCCCACCAGACAAAAGACCACACATGCACAGTATAAGTTTTAAACAAACAATTTAATGCTGTACACAGCAATGATGATTGTGAAGCTTGATTGAGGTGATAAAGTCAGAGGGTGGGTTATTTCCCAGGGAATGTCTTACTGCTAAATGATGAACTTCAAGGGTTAACCCATTGTTGTTAATGTAGCCTTACACTCTACAAGGCAGCACGAATGGAGGGAGGGGAGACAGCATGGCGGAGACAGAGACACACACCGTGAGAGAGAGAGAGAGAGAGAGAGAGAGAGGTGCGCATTGCCCCATTAAGTGCGCTGACCCCACGCTAAGTACACTGCCGTTTTGAGTAGATCAGCAAGTTGAGACAGAAGCTTCCGCCAGGAAGCTCCCTCCGTCCTGAGCCCTGTCGTGTCTCCCCCTGCTCTATGGAAATGGGGTAAGTGGAGTGCAGGAGCAGGGGAGAGGAGGACACCCTGACATTAGCCCTCCTCTTCCTCCCTGCCCCTGCTCCGGGGAGCAGCTCCAAGGCAGAGGGCAGCAGCAGCACATGGCAGAGGGGTGGGGGGGTGGAAGAAGAGACACAGCTGAACTGCCTGGCAATAGATAGCCTGCTGGGCGACTGCCACACAGGGAACTTAAGGGAGTGGGGAGCTGATGGGGGGCTGCTGGTCTACCCTCGTTCCAAGCCCCCACCTACTAGCTCCAATGGGCTGCTCTTCCTGCAAGCAGTGGACAAAGCAGGCAGCTGCCAAACGATGTTATAAGGGAGCATTGCGCAACTTTAAATGAGCATGTTCTCCAATTGATCAGCAACATAACAACATTAACCAGGACGACTTTAAGTGAGGAAAGGACTACCTGCGGCACCTTAGAGACTAACAAATTTATTTGAGCATAAGCTTTCGTGAGCTATAGCTCACTTCATCGGATGCAAGTGAGGAGTTACTGTACTACAAAAAACTCTTGATACTTGAATGTTAATCCAAGTTCTTCATTCAGCAGTGCACTACTGAATGATAATCAAAGGTCATACTACTTCTAATTAATAATGAGAACCATTATTACCTAAAGATGATGAATGCAGTCACAAGGCCAAATTCCGCATTCTTTTCCCAAGCAAACTCCCATTCACTTCTGTCTACTTTAATCTAACGTAAATATTTGTATTGGCCCCATCCCTAGGTATTTGAATGCTTTACTAACTTTTTAAAGCATACACATGAAATTTGCTCTCTCTCTCGCTCTTTTTCCCTGACTTCATTTATCTTCAGTAGGAGTTTTACCTGAGTAAGTACTACAGAATTTAACTCAAAAATTATTGACTAGCATGGGAGAGAAAAGTTGCCCACACTTGAATTTGATGATGTCTTTCCTGTGCTTGCAGCTTTATAAAATATAAAGAATGACATATTCTTACTAAACTGCAAGAATCTTAACAACAGCCTGTGCCCAAGAGCTGAGGTGAAGGAGTAGGGTCTTTGAAAGAACAATGTATCTGTAACAATTCTGTCAGTTCAGTGACTTTAAATAATTAACTGCTAGTAACGGTAGCATCATAATACCATTTTCTACTTTTAAAACACAAGAAGGAAACAAGATTCAATGAACTCTGAATCTGTTCTGTGATCAGATTTTTAAACTTCATTTTTAACAGTACTCACAACACACCTTAGAATGACAAAACACCTGAGAATAATATAGTATATTTTTACTTGATATACCTCAAAATAGAGATTGGCCCAAGTGAAACGTCCTTACACAAGCACCCTAACTATGGGGAATTTTCTATTTGGCTCCAGCTGCAGATCCAAACATCACAAAGTCTCTATCTCCATAATGGTCTGAACAGACATCTAAGTTCTTAGCAGACCTGAATCTGGGGGAAAATTGGATCTAGGTCCTAACTTTTTAGCTTGGTCCCTTCTCCAATTTAATTGAATCTGTCATGTTTCTTGACCTCTGCACATAGATTTGTTAATCAAATATCGAAAGGGAATGCAAAAAAAGGGGCGGGGGGAACCATTACATTGTGCAGCAATATTCCTTTACAGCTAAAGAAAGGACAAATATTTTTATTGAAAAAGCTTTTATAAAAAACTTCTCTATAAAGTTTGAGCACTTTTCAAGGACACCAAAACCCATCAATCCCAGAATGTTTCTTTATATTGTGTCTGTTGAACAAACTGGTAGCAAAACCAAAAAACTTTTACCACTGGACCACATGGTTTAAAAAGCTTGAATTCTTATTATTTTCTCCCTTTTAGATAGCTTCATGCCTTTCCATTTGTTTTATGAAAGTGAAAGGCAAGTGTAAAAGTTTGAGTGTAAAAGTTCATTCTCCATATCAAAGAAATTGATTGTTTTTCACCCTGACATTCCACTTAAAACGATGAAAACCATGTGGGAGGTGGGGCATCATGTAACAGTCATTATTTGCACAGATGGTCTGCAAGAGTAATTTAACTTTTGATCCAGAAAGAAACAGGAACTTGGGTCATAACTTCAGACAAGGCAGTGATCCATAAAAGGAGCACTTGCAAACCTTACATTAATCTTTGGTTTATACATTTTTAAAGCCAACAGTAGGAATGAGATTTTTCCTGGGAAAACTCAAGTATATTTTTGATGTGAAAAAGCAAACATGTTAGTTATATACAAATATGTAAAGGTTTCCTATTACATTTTACAAAGTAAAATAAGCACCAAGCAAACTCACCTCTGAACAGTCTGATTCCTCCTTGGACGTGTCATTTTCAAACCGTCCTGCTATTTTACAAATGTAAAAATATCTATCCTCACAATTTTTAACTTGCCAGTGTCCTGCCTAATAAAAAAAAACTAAATAAAAAACCAAATCAAACACACACACGATTAAGTAGTTTCTTTTTCTACTTAACAGGCCCTTTTGAATGAGAGAATAAACAGTCAAATTCTCCTCACTTGATTCCTGTGTTTAATCTTCCCATTGACTTCTGCAAAAACCTTCAATGATACTATTTGTGTGAGTAAGGCAAGAAGGATTTGTCTCTCTGAATATTAAAATGAAATGCCCTTTAATTGACTGAAGCCCATGGGAGCTGCTGTTGCTAGCCCTCTCAGAATCATGTCTTAGATGTTTCTTAGCTACCACTGGGCCTGACTCTATTAATCCTTTTTCGTGCACATAGTCTTTACTCAAGCAAGTAAGATTTGTGGGATCGGGCCCCTAGGCATTTTTAAACTATTTGATATGCACAAAATGAATGCTTTAAAAATTAAATCTTGTGCCTCAGTCTCTGCTACACTGCACTTTCTATAGTCATTTACACCTGTGCAAAATGGGTGAAAAATGCCCATGTGTATCAAAATTATAATTTAATTAAATATTATCTTCAGCACCAAGACATTAGGCCTGATCTTCCAGTTCTCAGATATTAAGAGTAATCCTTGGTTTCTGTGGGACTGGGCTACTCCCATGAGTAAGGATTAATCACATGAGGAAGGGTTTGCCAGACTGGGCCCATTATTAGGGACTAGATAAAATTTCTGATAATTGTGCAGAATAGTGTATTCTTTGGCAAAAACATACTTTACTATAAAACCTGAAAATGGTGTTACATGGCATTAAGGAAAGAGTTTATTAGTGGGTTTGAGCATTACTGAATTCCCCTTTGGCCAGATAAAATATTGGCAAATGTTTTTAGACATCCTTGTTTGGCTAGCAGGAACTGTAATTTATTTTATTTTTTAAAAGTTTAAAAAAAAAAGGTATGCATATTGCTCCCAGTTTCAAAATCTCTGGCAGATTTGGAGAACAATCCTGCTGCCACTAAAAACAATGGCAAAACTTCCAATGACTTGGAGTAGGATTGGACACTATATGCTGCTCCTTGATGTATATTTTTACAAGATGTTCCATAAACTGCTATAAATGCTGAGAACTGAGAGCAACATGAAACCGGCACACTATCAAAAAAATTCATTTGGAGCTTTCAAGTTAATAACCTAAACATAATAAATTAAGATGCACTTTATATGGATTTTAAATTATTTTCTCTTCACTGAAACAAAACTACCCACTGATTTTTGTCTTCTTCAACATGGCAAGCATTGCTTTTATTCCATTTCTTATTCAGGATGAGGCCCAATGGTTATGATTCATTCTTTGTTTTGATTGTGTATCAGCAGAGTCCTAAGAATGATTTTTAAGTCTATATCACACTTTTCAAGACTCAAGCGTCATTAAGCATCAACAGGCAATGTTGTAATGTGGGCGGGGATGGAAAAATATATGCACATTAAAAAGCCCAGACACTGATCATGACCAAAATTGACACTGTAACTTTATTTTTAAAGGAAAGGAGGAAAGAAAACTTACAGATCCTTGCGCTGAAACACAAAGTTGACTTGTTCTCTGAAAGATATTAGGCTCTTGTTTGTGCCAGTTAGTGAAGGTTACTGAGGAGCCATCAGACCACTGAAAAATAACTGGGGTTTTATTACTGTTCAAGCCAATCCATGTTTCGGTTACATTTTCTGTAAAAGAGATTTCAAATTTTGATGAAGCAGAAGTAAATGCCAATTATTTCCACAGGATTAACAGCACCTTTGAAATTCTGCATTTTTTTAAAGTCAGTTTCACCTTTTTTTCGAAAAATAAATTACACGAACTTTCTGAAAATTTACACAGAAATATGTTTCTGCTTCACTTTATAAAAAATGGCTTCAAAAGTAAACCAATGTATATGATGTAATGTTCTGTAAATGCCCATGGGGGAAAAGAAAATTAGGAGCATATGCATGCAAGGGGGAGAAACATAATATAGAAGAGAAAGTTGGCCATGGAGTAGTATCCTTTTTAGGGCTATCAGCAATTAAAATAATTAATCATGTGATTAAAAAAATCAATCACAATTGAACAATTAATCACGCTGTTAAACAATAATAGAATACCATTTATTTAAATATTTTTGGGATGTTTTCCACATTTTCAAATATATCAATTTCAATTACTACACAGAATACAAAGTGTACAGTGCTCACTTTATATTTATTTTTTATTACAAATATTTGCACTGTAAAAAAGAAATAGTATTTTTCAATTCACCTAATACAAGTACTGTAGTGCAATCTCTATCATGAAAGTTGAACTTACAAATGTAAACAAACTTGTTTTTCTTAGCGATTGGCTGAACAAGAAGTAGGACTGAGTAGACTTGTAGACTCTAAAATTGTACATGGTTTTGTTTTTGAGTCCAGTTATGTCACAAAAAACAACAACAACCTACATTTGTAAGTTGCACTTTCATGATAAAGAGTTTGCACTACAGTACTTGTATGAGGTGAATTGAAAAATACTATTTCTTTGGTTATTCATTTTTACAGTGAAAGTATTTGTAAAGTGAGCGCTGCACACCTTGTATTATGTGTTGCAACTGAAATTAACATATTTGAAAATGTAGAAAAACATCCAAAATATTTATATATATAAATATAAATATAACAGTGCAATTAATTGCAATTAATTTTTTTAATTGTGATTAATTTTTTTGAGTTAATCACGATTAATCAACAGCCCTAATCCTTTTCCACCCAGCCTCTGTGTCTGGGAACTAATGGGAGCTCTGCTCTACATGGCTGGGGCAGCATGACATCTTGGAAGAGCTACTGTAGATTCCCTACTCAGGGCAACTGAAGTTGCAAAGAAAAAAGTATCATAAGCATTGCTGCTTTGAGCAGTAGTAGTTCTTGCTCCATAGCTTTTACACAGGGATTATTACTGAATTAAGTAAAACCCCATGCTGTTGTACAGGTATAATTTGTAAAGTGTAAAAAAAAATGCAAAAATTCCTGAGAACTTAAGAACTGGACAGGAACAGACCATGAATTCCAGTGATGATTGAACCTGGCGATACTATAAACACAATGTAAACACTCAGCCATGCTTGTAGCTGTTTGCATCATTTCAGACTGACTCAGACATTCGAGGCTTCATAGTGACAATCCTGGAATTTTACTATATAGATGCTTGGGAGCAGTTTGCAGGGGCCCAGCCACTAGTAAAATGAAAACCACAAGAATCAGACTGCAAAGGGCTTACTCAGGACTTGCTCAGAAGCTAGAATATGCCAAGATCTATGGTAACAGACACTTGACCATTAGACTCTGTTCCCTCTAGGAGGTTGAACTAGTATCAGTGTTTTCTGGAGCCTTACAAAAGGGCGATGAAGTGCATGGGCTAGTGCTCTTCTTTTGCATGAAGGGGAGAATATGGCCCTTCACTGACTTCATACACATCCATTTTGTTTATTTAATTACAACTGTGCTCATTGGGGTAGCAGATGAGATAGACATCTAATTCTTGTGAGGATCCTAGAGCAAGGGTGGGCAAACTACGGCCCAGGGGCCGTATCCGGCCCTCCAGATGTTTTAATCTGGCCCCATAGCTCCTCCCAGGAAGCAGGGTCAAGGGCTTGCCACACTCTGTGCGGCTTCCGGAAGCAGCGGCAGGTCCCCTCTCCGGCTCCTACACGTAGGGACAGCCAGGGGGCTCCATACACTGCTCCCACCCAAGCGCTACCACCACAGCTCCCATTGGCCGGGAACCACGGCCAATGGGAGCTGCAGGGGCTGTGCCTGCGGACAGGGCAGCGCGCAGAGGCACCTGGCTGTGGAGCTGGAGTGGGAACATGCTGCTGCTTCTGGGTACTGCTTGAGGTAAGCACCGCCCAGAGCCTGCACCCCGACCCCCTCCCACACTCTAACCCCCTGCCCCAGCCCTGATCCCCCCTCCCACTCTCCAAATCCCTCAGTCCCAGCCTGGAGCACCCTCCCACACCCTGAACGCCTCATTTCTGGGCCCACCCCAGAGCGCCTCCCCCCCCCGCAAATTGTGTGAGCATTCATGGCCCCCCACACAATTCCATACCCAGAAGTGGCCCTCGAGCAAAAAAGTTTGCCCACTCCATCTTAGAGAGAGAAGGCATCGTAAGTTCTTATTCTATCGAATGTCTGTACAAGACGAGTAATATCATGCCTGAGTCATGTGGAAACCCATCATTAAAAGAACTTAATCAAAAAGAACTCGGCTATTAAAAGTAACACAGTTTAAACTAACTCTCTAGCACTTACCATCTTCAAGAAGGTTAATAAGTAACTCCACATCTGCCAAGGAAGTTATACTAATGAGGTTGCTATTATCAGTCTGGCAAGAGAGTAAAGCCTCATTCCAGTTCTTTTCCTCTTTATGAAGTTTGTAGCAGTTGCGGTTGTAGGGATACCAGCCAGTGTTACAGCGGGTAGGATGGTACTTCCATATATCTTAAACAATAAAAGATAAGAATATATTACACAAAATTCATTTCAGGCTATGCTCTATTGTTTTCATAATACAGTCATAGCTATTTTTTTTTATTTACAAAAGTAGAAATATAAAGCCATCCAAGGTAAACACAGAACATATCCACATACGAACATGCAGTATCATGTATCAAAATACAAATGCACAATATAGACGATACTTTTGTTTGTTTTTTTACAATAAACCCACCAAATGAAATATTACCATTGAGAGACTTACCAAATGTTTCATATGCTGTACTATTTCCATATTTTTTGCATACATAAGGCAATCCAGATTCACATTTATAACTTTGCCAGTCACACTGCGCCTTTAAATTAAATACCACACAGTGATTTTCTCCAAGTGCGCGATCGGTGAGATCTACAACCAATTTTAAAAAACGTAAAATTAACCACAATTTACTTTTGAATTGAAAAACAGGCTTATAATCTTCTACAGGTGTTATCTTATTGATACACAACCACAAGCCTTCATAAAGTAAAACAAGTTTTATTGCTCAGCACTGGATAATGCAAAGGAACTGATTGAATTCACAGGAATTGGATGGTTGAACATCACAATCTATATTTGCTGGTACATGTTTGCTCACTGAGTGCTATCCCATGAAATACCTGAAAAGTTCCAGTGTCCATTTTCTGTGGAAATGAATAGCCTTGAAATATGGGACAAGGGATGTCATAGGGCTTATCGTGAGACTAATCAGTTAAAATGCCCAATAGAATCGATCTTTAAAATACCCTTTAAAAAGTCCAATTAACTAAACCCTGATCTATGGCCCTGGAGTTTTGGATACCCCTTCAAACGAAAACACAAAAAGGGCCAGTACTCTTATAAATTTCAGGTAGAGAGAGCATACAATTACAATGCAATAATATAGAGCAAGAGGAACATCAAGTACTTGATCTCCAGTTCAAGAATGCCAATGGTGCTCCATCGGACCACTGCCAGCCAGCAGATTCATCCAGTCTATTTAGCCCTGTCCATAGCAGAATTCCTTTAGTGCTTAACTTTTCTGAAATATAAAAAATAAACCAAACCATGTTGAACATTTCAGATGCAGATATACTGTTCTGATCTCTCATGATGATAGCAAAGCAAAGCTTAAAACAAGTCTCCAGAAGGCTTAGGAATACCACTGGCATTTAATCTTTGCTCTTGAAAATGTTCTATTCCATTACTAATCAGTATTATACTGAAAGACAACTAACTCAGCCAGTCACAGTGTAGGGATAACATACTTTCTTACTCATAAAATATACAGAAGTTCAAGAACTGCAAAGCATGCAAATCTCTCCAGTATCATTCAGTGCTGCTGCCCTTAGAACTCAAAACATCCATATGTCTGCAACAACATGATCTCTTCACCTTCCATCGTGTTTCAGCTTTTCTTGCTCATTATGAATGAAAAATGATTTTAAGGTCAATTATAGTAAAGAACAAAATTGTCAGACACTTAGATGAACATAATTTGTTGGGGAAGAGTCAACATGGTTTTTGTAAAGGGAAATCACGCCTCAATAATCTACTAGAATTCTTTAAGGGGGGTCAACAAGCACATGGACAAGTGGGATCCAGTGGATATAGATTTTCATAAGGCCTTTGACAAGGTCCCTCACCAAAGGCTCTTAAGCAAAGTAAGCTTTTATGGGATAAAAGGGAAGATCCTCTCATGGATTGGAAACTGGTTAAAAGATAGGAAACAAAGGGTAGGAATAAATGGTCAATTTTCAGAATGGAGAGAAGTAAAGAGTAGCGTCCCTCAGAGGTCTGTACCGGGACCAGTCCTATTCAGCATATTCATATATGATCTGGAAAAATGTTAAATAGCGAGGTGACAAAATTTGCAGATGATACAAAACTACTCAGATAGTTAAGTTCCAGGCAGACTGCAAAGAGATACAAAAGAATCTCTCAAAACTAGGTGACTGGGCAATAAAATGGCAGATGAAATTCACTGTTGATAAATGCAAAGTGATGCACATTGGAAAACATACTCCAACTATACATATAAAATGATGGGGTCTAAATTAGCTGTTACCACTCAAGAAAGATCTTGCAGTCACTGTGGATAGTTCTCTGAAAACATCCACTCAATGTGCAGGGGCAGTCAAAAAAGCAAACAGAATGTTGGGCATCATTAGGAAAGGGATAGATAATAAGACAGAAAATATCATATTGCCTCTATAAAAATCCATGGAACGTCCACATCTTGAATACTGTATGCAGATGTGGTCACCCCATCCCAAAAAAGATATACTAGAATTGGAAAAGGTTCAGAAAAGGGCAACAAAAATTATTAGGGGTATGGAATGGCTTCCGTATGAGGAGAGATTAATAAGATGGGGACTTTTCAGCTTGGAAAAGAGACGACTAAGGGGGGGTATGATTGAGGTCTATAAAATCATGACTGGTGTGGAGAAAGGAAGTGTTATTTACTCCTCATAACACAAGAACTAGGAGTCACCAAATGAAATTAGTAGGCAGCAGGTTTAAAGCAAACAAAAGGAAGTATTTCTTCACACAACACGCAGTCAATCTGTGGAACTCTTTGCTAGAGGATGTTGTGAAGACCAAGACTATAACAGGGTTCAAAAAAGAACTAGATAAATTAATGGAGGATAGGTCCATCAATGGCTATTAGCCAGGATGGGCAGGGATGGTGTCCCTAGCCTCTGTTTGCCAGAAGCTGGGAATGAGCAATGAGCTGGGAATGCATCACTTGATGATTACCTGTTCTGTTCATTCCCTCTGGGGCACCTGTCATTGCCCATTGTCGGATACTGGGCTAGATGGACGTTTGGTCTGACCCAGTATGGCCGTTCGTACATATAAAAATATTCAGTGCCTTCACCTGTACTTTAGACATTTCAAATTCTATTGTAATAGGAATTTCAGAGAGTTTCCTCTTAGCCACATCCTATTATTGAAAGCGATAATTGTTGGGATTCCCTCCAAGACCTCTTTCCACTCGGCTTCCCAAGAACTCAGTTTGACACCAGACTTTGTCACTCAGGTATCTTCATTTGGCATACAGCAATGCTACGCTGAGTTGATCAGGCCCAAACGCAGTGGGAATGGATGAAGGGTACAGAATAGCTCCAAAATTACACAGAAACTCTCTCCCTTTCTATACGTATCTCATTGCATTTAGTATACATTGCATCACACATTTTTGGATTGGCTTGGTTACTTTGAGCTGTCCATGCATTGTCCAACCTGACCTCCTCTTTACCACCTCTTTACATTCCTACCTTATCTTGTTCATCATTATTTTGTTTGTCAAAAATGGTTCCCTGGGTGTCCTCCCTCTTATCTTGGCTGGTCCAGACATTCTGTCTTTTTAGTCTAATGATCTGTTTACCTCCAAAGTCTATCTTCAAGAAATGGGGCCTCCTTCCATGTGTTAATCACTCATGTCAGGCCAAGTCTCAGCAACAACAACAGGAAAAAACTGATATTTGTAGAGAGGGGAAGTATCAGGATTCAGAGCAGTCTTTAGAGCACAAATTAGAAGCCCAATTCTGCAACCCTTTACCTATACTTATATTCCTTAGTCAAACTAGAAATCCCATTGACTTCAAGGGTTTTAGGATCAGACTCTAAAGGAAGCTCAAAAACAAAGTCTCATTTAAGAGACCCTTTCTACAAGCAGGAAAACAAATATATCAAAGACTAAGAAAGTGTTTTCTGTTTATGAAGAGAGTGTCATTCCCCCATACCCGATATTTACTTAAAACCTGCTAAACCTTCTCGTCAGCCCAATCCAGTTAGTACAGGTACTGCAGAAGAAAGATTCTGACACAGGGAAGAAGGTAGTTATAGCCTGAAATTAAAAGTCTCTCTCACTGTATTTGTGTAATTCGCCAGGGAAAATGAACACACCTGTAACTTCCTGTAATGGGGGCACTCATCTCTTGAGTACTGGCTGTGAAACTGCAGTCCTTTTCTTACCGCAGGTACCCCCTGCAGTCTGCCAGTCAATCTTGGCAGGTCTTCAGCAGCTTGTCCTTCCGGCCAAGTCACTAAATCCAAATGAAGCCCTTCTGCAGTACCAAAGCATACAATAGTTTATTTGCTCTCACTAGGGTCTTGAGCCCCAGCTATGAGCCCATTAAATTCGGCCCTTTGTTCTGGCTCCAAAACAAGGTCTATCCCTTTCTTGGAATTTACACCACTTTACCTGTGGCTCTTAGGGGAACTTAGGCTCACCCACTACTCCGGGTTCCAACCCAAGAAGCCTATAAACAGCAGCCATGTACTATTTACGCCAGTCTGTTGCTGTTATTTTCCTGGGTCTTTTCCAAGTATCAGCCCCTTTTATCTCCAGCCCTATTTCAGGGCCAGCATCCTCTGGTTCTCTCTCTCTTCTTCATTCCATTGGTCCCAACTAGGAACTGACGTGTCAAGGCTCTGCAGTGTCTTTTTTCTAAGCCTGCTGGGCTCTAATTAGCTGCTTCTGTGAGATTTCTCTAGGCAGGCCTGGAAGACCCACCTTTGCTGTTCCTTTCCTGTTATTTCCTGAGGTGGCACGTAGTAGGACTGTGAGGTCTCCCTTAGTGAGCTGCAGAGGCCAGATACACCCAGTCACATACCTCCCCCCATAGAAAGGAGTTGGGGTGGTGGTTCTGTCTGAGGGTAAAATCCCCTCCTTTCCAGGCTTTGCTCTGCTTCCTCAAGGTCTTGTCTCCCAGACCTCTCTACCCAGAAAGCTTTTGCAATTTATGCTCCCTGGGAGTTCCCCTGCTCCAGAGCCAACATACATCAAAAGGTGAATTTGACCAAAGTTACCCTTTAACAATGTTCTCGAGCCGGGGACACTTTTTGTTTAGCTATTACAAGGAAGTCAGACAGGTTCTTGGCAATACCCTTGTCTTCCTCAGAGAAATATGAAGTGACGAAAGCCTGGAGTTCCCCCATTATAGGTATCCCATACACTGCACGTAGTCCTCAACAGTCCATGGCATGCTGTAATTTATGATGTGCCGAGTGTTCAGCTAATTGAAGCCTTTTTTCATCTCTAGAGTGGTTAACAGAATTGGGATTTTATGAAAAAGAAACTTTTCTGCTGTGGCCTCCTGAGCTGGAGAGGACTCTCCCTGGGTGCACCTGCATGTACAACCTTCAGAGATAAGGCTGTCGCTCACCACATTTAGGTCCCTTTCAGAGGGACCCAAAATCCAGGGATTGCACTGTTTTGCCCACTGCTTGTAGTATCTGGCTTAGCAACACCTACTTTTGTTCTTTCTGTACCAATGCTATTTTATGAATGAAATTCAGTATTTCAGGATCACTTTTATCTTCTTGTTTCCTCTAGCTATAGTTCTTCTTTTTAGCAGGGATCCAGTTGTGGCTTTGGCTTGCAGCTTTATTGTGATCTCATATCATTAGGCCTATAATGGACTAATGGCCTATATTAGGCTCTTAATTACAACTGGCTCATGTCCCTCCTGGCTCAATCCATCTTCCTGTTGTAGTGTTTGCACTCTGCACGATTCCAACTCTTCTCAAAGGATGGGCTACGATAGCCTCCAGGCTTTCCCACTCTTTATCTTTAACCCTGTTAGACTTCAACCCCAACCAGACCTAAAGCAAATTATGGAGCTAAGTCAGCAACTTCTGCAGCAAACACTGCTGTTCCCCAGTCTCTTGTTCAATTATGAGATGGGTCCTGTTCCCACTGCACTGCTTGGGCTAAGATCTGGTCCCTTGAGGAGTGCATCTCTTTGAGTTCCTACAAGACCTTGACCTTTTGGACCGGTAGGACAGAGGTGGGCAAACTACGGCCCGCGGGCCACATCCAGGCTGCAGGACCCTCCTGCCCAGCCCCTGAGCTTCTGGCTCAGGAGGCTAGCCCCCAGCCCCTCTCCTGCTGTTCCCCTCCCCCCACAGCCTCAGCTCACTGTGCTGCTGGCACAGTGCTCTGGGAGGTGGGGCTGCGAGCTCCTACTGGCAATGCAGCTACAGAGCCGTGGCCTGACCCGGTGCTCTGTGCTGCGTGGTGGCATGGCTGGCTCCAGCTGGGCAGCACGGCTGCCTGACCTGGTGCTCTGGGAAGCGCAGCTGTAGCATCGCCAGCCACCAGTGCTCCAGGCAGTGCAATAAGGAGGCAGGGAGCGGGGTTGGATAGAGCGCAGGGGAGTTCAGGGTGGTGGTCAGGGGCGGGGGTGTGGACCGGGGTTGGGGCGGACAGAGGGCGGGGAACGGGGTGGTTGAATGGGGGCAGTCAGGAAGGAGAGGGGGGGGTTGGATGGGGCGGTGGGGGGAAGTCAGGGGACAGGGAACACAGCGGGTTGGATGGGGCAGGAGTCCCAGAAGGGCCGTCGGGGGCGAGAAGCAGGGGGGGAGGGGGGCTGGATCTCTCAGTCACTCCTGAAGTTTGTTTGCTCTCTTGTATTCCAGCTGCAGCAGCTGCTTCAAATGCTTTTGCATGGTACAATATTGTCCGATCACAGTGTCTTGGTTGGTTGATGGCTTCTGTCAACTAGTTCCCTGTTCCCCTTAGCTGTCTGGTGGCCATCGGCCTGGCATTTCTTGGACTCTGAATCCCATAGCTGTTTTAGCAGCACTACCTTCGCCTCTAAAGCAGCGAGGGAAGATCTGATTTGGACATCATACCACCTCCTCTCAGCCTAGACTCTATAATTGCTGTCCTAAACTGATCATTACAATTTGTGCTATGGCTTTGACTGTCTTCAATTCAAGCTCTGTCCCAATCTCAGAGCTCTGTTTTCCTTCTAAAATAGGGGTTCCCTGGCCTTGTGTATTGGCCGCCACCATGATTGGTCTCTCCCAGTGAGGCTGTGTTGGGCTCTGGTCACCTTTTTCAGGTGTCCTGTCCAACACTTGGAGTATTTTAAACATCTGTCTATGCACCCGTAACTGTTGGGCTTCTTGAATGCAACCGTATGCTTTCTGCTGAGGAAGACCCTGTTAAGAATATAAGAACGGCCATACTGGGTCAGACAAAGGTCCATTTAGCCCAGTACCCTATCTTCAGACAGTGGCCAATGCCAAGTGCTTCAGAGGGAATGAAGAGATCAGGTAATCATCAAGTGATCCATCCCCTGTCGCCCATTCCCAGCTTCTGGAAAACCAAGACTAGGGATACTTCAGAGCATGGGGTTGTATCTTTGACCATGTTGGCTAACAGCCATTGATGGATCTATCCTCTATGAACTTATCTAATTCTTTTTTGAAACCAGTTATGCTTCTGGCATTCACAACATCCCCAGGCAATGAGTTCCACAGGCTGACCATGCATTGTGTGAAGAAGTACTTTCTTATGTCTGTTTTAAACCTGTTGCCTATTAATTTCATTGGGTGACCCATGGTTCTTGTGTTATGTGAAGATGTAAACAACACTCCTCTATTTACCTTCTCCCCACCAGTCATGATTTTATAGACCTCTACCATATCCCACCTTAGTTGTCCCTTTTCTAAGCTGAACAGTCCCAGTCTTTTTAATCTCTCCTCATATGGAGGCTGTTCCATGCCCTTCTTTGTACTTTTTCCAATTCCAATATATCTTGTTTGCGATGGAGCAACCCAAACTGTATGCAGTATTCACTATGCGGGCATACAATGGATTACAAAAGTAGCATTATGGTATTTTCGGTCTTATTATCTATCCCTTTCCTAATGGCGCATAACATTGTTAGCTTTTTGTCTGCCACTGCACATTGAGCAGATGTTTTCAGAGAACTATTCATGATCACGCCAAAATCTTTCTTGAGCGGTGACATAATTTAGACCCCATCATTTGTATGTTCAACTGGCATTATGTTTTCCAGTGTGCATTACTTTGCATTTATCAACATTGAACTTCATCTGCCAATGCGTTGCCTCTCACCCAGTTTTATGAGATCCCTTTATAACTCTTCACAGTCAGCTTTGGACTTACGTATCCTGAGTAACCTTGTACTGTCCGCAAATTGTGCCACTTCCTCTATTTATCCCCTTTTCTAGGTCATTTATGAATATGTTGAACTGCACAGGTCCCAGTACAGATACTTGGGGGATCCCACTATTTACCTCTCTCCTCTGTGAAAATTGACCATTTATTCTTGCCCTTGTTTCCTATCTTTTACCCAGTTACTGATCCATGAGAGGATCTTCCCTCTTATCTCATGACTGCTTACTTTGCTTAAGAGCCTTTGGTGTAGGACCTTATAAAAGGTTTCCTGAAAGTCCAAGCACACTATCTCTTCTGGATCACCCTTGTGCACATAGTTGTTGCCCGCCCCACCAAAGCATTCCAATAGATTGATGAGGCATGATTTCCCTTTACAAAAGCCATGCTGACTCTTTCCAACAAATCATGTTCATTTATGTGTCTGATAATTCTGTTCTTTAATATAGTTTCAACCAACCTATTTGCCTGGTACTGAAGTTAGGCTTACTGGCCTGAAATTGCCAGGATCGCCTCTGGAACCTTTAAAAAAAAAAAAAATTCGTGTCACATTAGCTATCCTCCCGTCATCTGGTACAGAAGCTGATTTTAAGTGATAGGTTAGATACCACACTTTGCAGTTCTGCAATTTCATATTTGAGTTCTTTCAGAACTCTTGGGGGAACTCCATCTGGTTCTCGTGACTTATTACACTTTAATTTATTAATTTGTTTCAAAACCTCCTCTACTGACACCTCAATGTGGGACAGTTCCTCAAATTTGTCATCTAAACAGAATGGTGCAAGTGTGGGAATCTCCCTCATGTCTTCAGATCTTGGATATCAGACATCTCATACTCGATGCAGTTAAATGCTTAACCCTGTCTCTTCATCCTACCTTGATGGGATAGGGATTTGAATCCCACTTCTGGCACAAATTTGTAATCAGGGCATTCACTGCCTGATCACCTCCTAGTATCTATGTGTGGTAATGCAGTCCTTTTCTCATGTCTGGCACCCCCTGAAGGCTGCCAGCTGACTTCGGCAGGTCTTCAGGGGCTTGGCCCTCCAGCCAGGTCACAAAGTCCAAATGAAGCCCTTTCTGGGATACTAAAGAGTCCAATAACAAACAGTCTATTTGCCCTCGCTAGGGTCTTCAGCCCTGGCTTTGGGTGCTATAAATTCAGCGCTTTGTTTAGGGTCCAAAACAAGGCCAGTCCTCTACTTGGGGTTTACATACTTAAACTGTGGCTATTAGGGGTACCTGGACTCACCCACTACTCTGGGTTCCAACTATGAACAGAAGTCACGTACTACTTACTCCAATCTGTCGCTGCTATTTTCCTGGGTCTCATCCTACTGGGCCCCTTTTATCTTCAACCTTATCTCAGGCCCAATTCCCTCAGGTTCTTCTCTACCTCCAGTCAAGAGAGGAGCACCCTTTTTCAGTCCTCTGGTCTCAGCCAGAAACTGACCTCCTAAGGTCCTGCAGCTTCTTTTAGTTAAGGCTACTGGGCTCTGATTGGCTGCTTCCATGAGGTTTCTCTAAGCAGGCCTGGAGGACCCACCTCTGCTGTTCCTTTCTTGTCACTTCACTGCTTCCTGGGTTGGGATGTATAGGACTACAGGGCTACCTGTATGGAGCTGCAAAGGCCAGATACACCTCAGCATGCTTCCAAAAAGGCTTCAGTTTCAAGAATGAAATAATAAGCCTTATGGTAAACCATTTGGGAGGGGAAAGGATTAAATACAATAACTACATCCTTGAGTAACACATACGTAAACCTTGGACTTTGTTTGTTAAGCCCATAGCTTACTTGCACTCAGATTTTAAAAAGAATTTCACTGGAACAAATGGTGTGGAAAGGCCCTGAAAACAGAAGTGGGTAAGAAAAAGAGGTGTATATGCTAGATATTGGTGGCTATGTTGCAGCACCTCTTTGCAAATCTATGGAAACCCTTCTGCATGAACTCACTGGTTCGGGCTCCACAGGTCTAGGTCTTAGCAATGACTAGCCACTCTATACAGCTGGCTCCTCAGGCAACCTGACTGAAATATCCCAAAGCTGTAAAGTTTTGATCTAGACTTGGGTCGGAACTTCTCCGTAGTCTGGGATGTTTGGGTCCGACTTTTGGTTGGGGCCCATTTCTAATAAAGAGCAGTATTTGATACAAGGGATGAAATCCTAGCCCTTCTGAAATCAATAGAACTGCCCAGCTAAACAAGCAAAATATATATTTAAGTAAGTTTTAACATAACTACACATCTACTCACTGCTTATATACTTCTGTTCTGCCATGTCTGTGATACTCAGCAAATCTCCTCCTTGCGTCTGACAGGCAACACGTGCCTCATTCCAAGAAAGAATAGAAAAAAGATTGAACTGATACCAAATTTGGGTGTCAGGGTTCTTCTCCCAAAAAATATCACTACCAGGCTCTGTGTGAAAATCAGTTAAAAACAACACGATGCAACAAAACAATTACAGAGAATGCTATAACAATCTAGTTAATGTTGAACACAAAAGTGAAAATGCTATTGAAGCATGAGTTTGAACTAATTTTCAATGTTCCAGTGTTAAAATCACACAAGGAAATAGGATGTTATGTGAATTTTAAAGGAGACTTTCCACCAATGTAAATTAACTGTTCAGCTTTTCACAATGTTAGTGAGTACTAGGGGGAAGGTCCTCACCTGGTGTAAATTGTCATAGCTTCACTGCAGTCAGAGCTATAACAATTTGCACCAGCTCCTACAAGCGTAATGGTGAAACTAACTCACAGTGAATTTTGTAGGAACTGGGCTAACCCCCATCCCCACAGCGAGAGGGGAAAGGTAGTTACATCTCCCCTTACCCAGTACCCAAGAGGACTCTCTGTTAAGGGATGAAACACATTATGAACAATTAATGAAGGCAAGGCTGGTAGTACAGCTTATTAAGATTTCCTGACATTTCCCCATTATAAAACCCTGTTTTCACTTGATTATTACTTTGCTGAACTCCAATTTTCCACCTTGTTTGTCTGTCTCAGGCAGAATATTTTGGGGGGGGGAAATCTGGCCAAAATAGCTCAGCTGTTTCCGGGAACATAAGTAGGGGAAAATATGTTGACCTACCAATGTTAAGAAATTCTGGAGACCTTTTCCTTCAAAAAGCTGATGTCCCCTTGGCTTTGGAGTGGGGATTTGAAATTTGGCAGTGGGTGGTCTTTGGTGTCATGATGTGTCTTTTGATATCTGTGATGGGGCAGTTGCCCCACACTATCAGAAAGCGGGTTAAAAGCAGCCCTAGGGAGGCTGTGCCAGAGCCAACTAATTAGAATGGGTCTGAGGGGAACAGCCAATTATGGCCCAGCAGGCTCATATAAGAAGGGCTGCAGGGCAGAGCAGAAGGAGTCACTCCCTGGAGCTTGAGGAGGGAGGTAGACTGGGGTAGACTGGCTGCCTTGCAGGCTGAGGGCAGCAAGCACCCGGATGTAGCAGTGCCGCAGGCTGAGGCCCTGAGGCTAGAACAAAGAGGGTGCTTGGGCCACAGGGAAGACAGAGGGGATGCAGTAAGTGGCTGCTATCTACAGGGTCCCTCCCGCCCTGCTCCTCGCCACTGGGGAAGTGGCTAAACAGTAGACTGCGCTTGCCACGGAAGGAAGTGGCTAGACAGTGAACTGCAGCTCCCCCGGAAGGGGGCAGAACCAAATGCCAAATACTGAGCCTGTTAAAGGCAGTGCGTGACCAAAAGCAGTTTAAAAGGTATGCTGTAGTCAAAAACAGTCAAGGCCCTGTACAGAATGAATCATCATCCACCTGCATGCTGTGGAGAAAGTCTCCATAGATAGTCTGGATGGGTGGGCTGGTAGAAAGGCAAGGGTATAGTCAGTGGAGGTTAGTGGACATCCCTTGTATTCATATTTTGGTCTAGGGATCTGGATTTGGGTCTCCGAGATAAGCATAAAGAATTATAGTAATGGCTATAATTCTTTGAAGAAACATCCATACTAATAGAATGGCAATGATCTTGCAATTCATAAAACAGCTTGCTCTCCTTGAACTAGTGTATGACATCAGACAAACTTTTATTACAAAACAGAAGAAAAGCAGTACCTACCAGCATTTGCGCAAAACCCCCATTTTTCATCTCGTTCATACTGACTTGTTGTGGCACACCAGTAAAATTCCCTGCTCTCTCTGGTACATTCGAAGTACCATTTGTTCTTATATTTAAATGGAAAAATACAAGGGAAACCAAGAGAATTTCCCAGCAGGGTATATGTTTCTACAATAAATAAAATAAAAAGGAATAAAATCAGGTTAGGGAAATGGAAAATCTGTATCAGTCAAATATTAGTTTCTTTTCTACTTTTTTTTTTAAACTTGATATCACAGCAATGCTGTTATTAAGACTACAGCTGCATACCCTACATCAGCAGAAGTTTATTTTTTAAACAATTCAACCTAAGACTTTCAGGCAATTTTTCAGAACTGTGGCCCTGATTTACTACTATAAAAATGTATATGCAAAAAGTAATTATACATACAAAATCTGCATTTGTGACTAATTGTATATTAAAATGTCCATGCAATTGCCTGATCTGCATGCACAAATCCTTTTAGATACATTTTCAAGCGCAGGGGGGGCTTTGAACATCATAGCCTTATTTGTATATATTCAATGCCAAACAATTTAACCCCCAAGAATTTTATGGATTTCTATGTTCTTGAATTTTCCCTGTTTATTCCTCTCTTCTATAGTTCCTTGACACTAGAATTTTAATAAGTGTATTTTAGCCAAGGAAAAAATATTTTACAGTGTGAATGGTAACAATCTGACTTTGGGGAAGAGTAACCAATGCGATTTGAATTCACGATATCTTTGGTTAATGCCTTTACAAAACAATCTAGATATTTTTCCTACTACATTTTCATTAACAAAATATTGAAAAAATTAAGTACATCTGAAAGCTGCAAAGAAGCTTTACCTCACTAAATAATTTATTAACTTCACAGTATTGACCTTCAGTAAAGGGGAATTTTTAAAGCACCCCTTTTTTTTCTTTTGCATGAAACTAATATTTGTGAAAGGTGCTGGACTGATAGCCTGGAGATCAAAGTACTCTGTCTACACCTCAGGCACAGCATACACAGTGTTAGTTTCCCAGAGCTGATGGCAGTCTGCCTCAAAAAGGGTGGGAGAGTAATTTATTCACTATGAATCTCGTTCAAAGCCCAACAACGTTAACGGGCAGTGTGATAAACATGGGAGATAGCTGTATTATTTTTATGAATATTATACATACCTCATTCTATTTGATTACTATCATGCTATCAGTCCTGAGTGATTTTTTACACATCAGCAGGAACCCAAAATCAATGGCTGGAAGTAGCCAATCACCGGTATTTAAACGATATAGGTGTCAATACCTTTGAAGATTTATCCCTATCATGCTCTGATCAGCAGGCTGGCTTAGCAACCCCAAAAGGGTGGGGGAATCCAAGAGGGGAAAAATGAAGTAAAGGGATTTAGGATGGATTAAAGCCTCAGCCCTGAACCTCAGAGGGAGACGGAAGGGGGCAGTGATTGCTGAGAAGACACCGATCCTCCTCTCCCAGATGTTGGAGCACAGGGATGAGCCAGGCCTACCTAAATCTTGAGAGAAATGCTGAGATTAAGTAAGATAATGTTTGTTTAGGCCTTTTTGTTGTTTTACACCTTTTCACTCTGATTGCTATGTTTCTATAGATGCATAAATACTACTTTGTTTTAATGAAGCTGTTCTAACTCACTGCATTTTTATGCTGCTTACAGCTCCCGACAGGAAGTCTATCTCAGGGGCCAAACCTAGTTGGACCTGCTGAGCAAACATGGTTTTGCAAAATGGGGTGCTGTAATCTGGAGAATCAGCCTAACAGTGGGATAAATTGCAGGAGAGAAGTGCAGTTGCTGGCCGTCACTTGAAAAGGGTCGTCATGGAGAGACTGAGTGAGGGGTCAAATGTTCAGCTCATGCTGGAAATGTGACAGTGAAACAATTTTATCTCTGTATCTTTGTATTCTTTTTATGAATGTTAACATATTTGGATGCTTGTATGGTCTGCAAATATGGAAACCTATACTCTTTAGTTTATATGCCACACCCACCAGTTAGCCAACACCAGATCAAAATACCCCTAAACTTTAAATGTTTGAAATCTGAGCCTGGATCCTGAAATTTGCTCTGGGTCCCCTCTCTTTCTAATAGGAAAACCAAAATACCAATCTCCATACCCCAGTGTTTCAGGTGTTCAAAATCCAGATCTCGAGGTTGCCAGTACTCATATTGCTACACTGAATTGTGACCTCTAGTCAATTTTGTATCTTACAGACAGGAGCCTATACCTTCACTAACTTGCTCTCACTGCACTGGGGAGGTGAGGTCACTACTGCTGGGCTTGGTGGGGCAATGGGGTGGCTCTACTATTCTGGGCCTATTCTGGGTCTCTGCCCTACTCAGAGCAAAGAGGCACCTGGAAACTGCACACAGCTGCTAGTGCTTCCACATACTCAGGAATGTTCCTGTGCTGCCTGAAGTTCCCTCTTGGTAGCTGTGCCATAGAAGAGAGAAGCGGCAGGCTCAGGAGAGAACAGGGACTGCCACTTCCCCTGGAGGATCGAGACGGGAGGACAGCTGATGGCGCCTGCAAGGGAGGAGGAATAGGAATAGGGCTGGTTGGAGGAGGGCACTGGAATCTGCACAGGTGATGAAGGCTGCTGGAGCCTTCAGGGGTTGGGGGAGAGGGAACATGTGGCAGCTTGCTTGGGCTTGCCTGGGTTAGGAAGAGGGAGCTTCTGGAGCCTGCCAGGGAGCAACGGGGTGCGACTGGAATTACCAAGAAGAGGGCAGACTGCAATTTACACAGGGAAAGGAAAGAAACTGGGGAAGGGAGTGCTGAGCGCTTAGGAAAGGTGAACAGGGGGTCAGAGAAGGAGAGAGGGATATATGGAGTCCATGTCAGGAGGAAGATAGAGAAATTCCCTCCTGACATTTGTACACACACGTTTTGTGTTTGAGGTTGACTTTTCCCTCTTGAAACATAAATGCATGCACTGAAATGGAAGGGGAGGGAGGGAATGATGGGATCTGTGAAGAATTTGGAAGTCAGCACCAGACTCAAAGTACTTTATGCTTTTTTAAAAATCAAATCTCACGATTATTTGTAGTTTGCCTGAGGATTTTTAAAATCATAGGGCTTGTAATACTGGGATCCTGATCCAACTTGTGGTGCTTTATAATACTGTATATAAAAAAAAACACCCCCCCACCACTAATTTAAAGACTCAGCATGATACAGGTCAGGAATGATGATGATACATGATACAGATCAGAAATGATAATGTCTCACCTTGCTTCAGGGAAACTACAAAATTCTAATGGCAATGTGAATGGAGACTGTTTTATTTTTACCTTGAAATGGACGTTCACAAAGATCTTCATCATAGGACATGTATTGCTTCCACTCGTGATTAGTGATTCTTTTTGCCACAATGTGTTTGCCATTTTCAGCTGCTAGTTTGTATTGTGATGCACCAACCAACAGCTTTCCATTACAGTTCCACCATAATGAATGCTGAGCAGAATCACATTCTAATAGGCTTAATGGTTGCTCTTCGTTACTGATGTTCAGTCCTAGACAAGTGCTTCTGCCTATGTTGAAAAGATGACGTTTCGATACCCATTTCCACAACATATATTTGGAAAGTTGATTGCAGTCTTCAAGAACAAGTCTAACTGTATCTGCTTTAATGCACAGGTTGAGATGTTCACTTTGGATAATAAACATCCCTTTGTCTGGGGAAAAAAGAGGTTTCAGTTCAAGATAATCTGCAAAAAAGCATTATACGTTACACAGGACCAGGGCCTTAGTTTTGACCATTTGAATTAAAACATGCTTAGCTTTTACAAAGAACTTTGAAATTATTTTTCAAATTACATGTAAAATATTAAAAACAACTGGTACTCCAAAGACAAGAAAATTGTTCCAAGTTGCTGGTGGCATGAAAAAAAAAATGCATTAAGCTCTCAGCCATCCTTCATAGCCCAATGCAACCCCCCCCACCCTTTTATTTAAGGCTAGTACTTCTGAACTCACTCTCTCTCGTTTTTGTTTTTAAGTATCCAGCATTGTGACACCTATTTTATGTTATATAAAATGTTAACTACATAGGCCAAGACTTTCAAGAGCGATCAGTAGTTTTTATGCTCAGTTGAGACATGCTCAGTGCTTTCTAAAAATCAGGACTGTTCAATACAGCTCAAGCTGGCCACCCAAATAACGAGGCACCCAAAATCATTAGTCACAAAATCTTGGCCATAGAGTATTCATAGAATCATGGAAATGTAGAGGTAGAAGGCCCCCCGAGAGGTCATCTAGTCCATCCCCCCTGAGCTGATGCAGGACCAAGTAAACCTCGACCATCCCTGATAGGTGTTTGTACAACCTGTTCTTAAAAACCTCTAAGGATGGGGATTCCACAACCTCCCTTGGAAGCCTATTCTAACTATAACCATAGTTAAGCTCTGGAAAGATTTTCCTAAAATCTAACTTAAATATTCTTCGTTGTAGCTCAAGCCCATTATTTCTTGTCTTCCCTTCAGTGAAGATGGACAACAAAGAACAGTTAGAGGTTCTGCAAGTTTGCAAGCCTCAACGAGAAGAGTCAAAGCATAGGACTGGAAGGAATCTTGAGAGGTCTCATGGCAGGACTAAGTATTCTCGAGACCATTCCTGAGAAGTGTTTTGTCTAACCTACTCTTAAAAATCTCCAGTGATGGAGATTCCACAACCTCCCTAGGACAATTTATTTCAGTGCTTAATCACCGTGACAGGAAGTTTTTCCTAACGTCCGACCTAAACTGCCCTTGTTTCAATTTAAGCCCATTGTTTCTTATCCTATCCTCAGAGGTTAAGGAGAACAACTTTTCTCCCTCATCCTTGTAACAGTTTTCAAGTATATAAAAGGTTATGTCCCCTCTCCAAGGGTGGCAGAGCCTTCCCAAAAGTAGTGGGGACAGGGGCCTCCACCCCTCCTCTTCCCCCCAAGGCCCTGCCCCTGGCCAAGCTGGAAGCTGGAGCAGGGTCAGAAAGCCTGGGCCCCTCCACTTGACGGGCCCCCCCCAAGAGCATCCCCAGCCATGTCCTTGCCCCCCAGACCCCCTACCCAGAGCAGGTGGAGGGTCTACAGCTCCTCACAGATGCCCACACGGCTCTTACCCCAACCTGGCTCCGGCTGGGCGGGGCCTCAGAGCCACAGCTCAGCCATGGTAGAGCCGCCTGGGCAGTTGTGGGGAGCTGTGAAACCTCCATCTGCCCTGGGTGGGGGGCCAGGGAGTGGGGACACAGGTCGGAGCTGCTCTGGGGGCCCCGCCCCCCTGGACAGTTAGAGGGTCCGTGGCTCCTCACAGCTGCCTTGGGCTCTGCTTCCAGCAGGTGCAGGGCCTCGGGACCATGAGAAAAGTGGATGGGCCAGGAGCATCCACTTTCAAAAAGTGGGAGAGCCATAGTCCCTTGCCCGCCCCGCCTCCCGCCAGTGCCTCTACCCTCTAGGTCTTCTCTTTTCTAGACTAAACAAACCCAATTTTTTCAGTCTTCCCTCAGAGGTCATGTTTTCTAGACTTTTAATCATTTTTGTTGCTCTTCTCTGGACTTTCTCCAATTTATCCACATCTTTTCCTGAAATGTGGCACCCAGAACTGGACATAAGACTCCAGTTGAGGCTTCATCAGTGCAGAGTAAAGTACAAGTGTAATGCCGACAGACCCAGGTCGTTGGTATGCAGAATTGAACCGGGGACCTCTGGAGCTTAGTGCATGAGCCTCTACCACATGAGCTAAAGGCCAACTGGCTGTAAGCTAAGGCTATAGCACAGACTCATTTTCTCTCTCTCTCTCTAAGTGGTCTTGGTGCCACTAGATGGGACAGAACATCACACCCAGCAGGTGTGTGGATTACACAATAATTACTTATATCTTGCTTACAACACTCTTGCTAATACGTCCCAGAATGATGTTTGCCTGTTGTGCAACAGTTACACTCTTAACTCATTTAGTTTGTGATCCACTATGACCCCCAGATCCCTTTCTGCAGTACTCCTTCCTAGGCAGTCATTTCCCATTTTGTAAGTGTGCAACTGAATGTTCTGTCCTAAGTGAAGTAAGTACTTTGCATTTGTCCTTATTGAATTTCATCCTATTTACTTCAGACCATTTCTCCAGTTTGTCCAGATCATTTTGAATTTTAATCCTATCCTACAAAGAACTTGCAAACCCCTCCCAGCTTAGTATCATCTGCAAACTTTATAAGTGTACTCTCTATGCCATTATCTAAATTATTGATGAAGATATTGAACAGAACTGGACCCAGAACCGATCCCTGTGGGACCCCACTTGATATGCCCTTCAAACGTAAATGTCAAACGCTGTAGAATTGCTGACTTTTCTCCATCCAATGCAGGGAGATGGGCAAGCCTAGTACAGGAAACACATACTGTGGATAAAGCAATATGCATAGGTCATCATTCTATACAAAAAAAAAAAAAAGTCAGATTGCCAGAGGTAAAAGGCCAACAACTGATCAGCACTCTCAGTTCCTGTTTACTATGTTCAACGCTGCTACAGGGCGCCTTCACTTCCCACAAAAGGCAGTGGGAAACTTCTCATGCTGGTAATGAGAGAGTTTTACTCCCCTCAGAAGCAGCAGATGCGAGAGTCATAGGGAGTTGCTCGGAATCAGGAGAACTTCACTGTCCTCTGAAAAGACACTGGGAAGGAGAGCAATGGTGAAAACCTGATGGGAAGCCTACAGTCTGTTGTCCCAGGATAAAAGGCAGCCATTGAGGTGGGAGAAGGGATCTTTGTTTTCTCACCAAGGTCCATCTTCACTGCAGAATTAACCAGGGCTCTTACTTGGGAGTTGTCCCTAACCCCAATCCTGTCCACACACAAAAGACTTTTCTCTCAGTGTGATGGTACTTTCACACTGCTGGCCTATCCTAGACGTGTAGGCTAAAGCCAGAATGTGAGACTTTCACTCAGGCTGGTAACACTCTTACTCTGCAGTGAGGACACAGGCTAGATCACTTAGTTCTCTACTCCCTCCCACAATTCCCCCATGTGCCCAGAAAGCCAGATGAGTTCTCCCACAATTCACTGGGAAAGAATCATGCAGCAGCTCAGTTTACCGCAGCACAGAGTACCATGGGATTTGCCACCCAAAGTCCTAGTGCCGCACACCAGTCAGGTTCTGTAGCGTGGCTGCTTGCGTCTCAGGTAGGTTCACCCTGGTGTGAACACCCAAACACTTAACTCTGCAGCAAAGACATGTCCAAAGGCAGAGAAGAGAAGCAGGGGAAGCTATCAGAAGGGTGAACAGATGTGCATTCCCCTCCGCAAAAGCAGAGGAAAGAAGAGCAGACCTTCATCCCTCTGCCTTCTGGCAGGTGGGAGCACCTAGCATGGAAGAATCCTTATGCTTCTCCCCAAACTTATAATTGCTGGGGTGTGGAAAGGAACATCTTCATTCCCCTCCCTAAAGTTCAGTACAGAGCCCTGAGGAGAGTGGGCTTCCCTCAGAGGAATTGGAACAGCACCACTATTCTCCCCCAAGACAGTATAGAGGACATGGGGGAAGCTGGCACAGCGGTGAAACTTTTCTCCAGAACAGGAAGGAAGAAGCAGAGAGGACTCACTAGAAGAGGCGAGGGGTCTGTTTTGAAAAATGGAAAGTATTTCCCAGTGTAACCTGGTGATTATGTTCGCTTCCCAAATGAAAGCCAGAATCCCATGCTGCTGCCAAAGAGCTACACATGTAAACATGCTGTCAGTGTGAACACATCCCCCAAACAGGCTGAGTGCAGTCTACAACTGCAGGACAGAACAGGAGGAAAACAAAAAGGAAAAGGAAAACTGCAGGACAGGAGGAGGAAAAGGAAAAAGCAACAACATTAAGCCCAGGGCTGGTCAAAGCAGCTGCCCTTCGCACTAGTTGCTCTCAACATGGCTCATTGCTTCACTTACTCAAAAAGTAGGGCACTTGGTCCTGACTCAAAGCTGCATCGTCTTCAGCCAAACTGTAGCAAACTAGCAGCATGGAACAAACCAGAAGTTGGATCTGCACACACAGCATTTCTGCAGAGTAACAGCTCCTGGCAAACACTTTCCCGTGGACTTAGTCGATGGAAGAATACCACACTTTTCAGGGAGAGGGCGATCCTGGATATGCAGCTGTTCCCCAGACCAGCACAACCACTCCTCCTCCTTCTTCTGGATTGATGAGGGGGGCGGGACATGCAACCCCCCACCTCCAGTAACAGCAACTGCTTTCTGAACAAGGGGGAGGGACATGTCCCACCAGCCCCTGCCTGAAGAAGGGAAATGCAGCAACCCCACCCTGTGAATTTGTTTCTGCCTAGAGGAAGGACATGCAGCGCCGACTCCCTCCAGCCCTGGCTTGGAAAGTGAGATGCAACTTCCCCCAATCTCACCCACTCTGCCCTGCAGCCCGAGGGAGGAAATGTCAGGGACCTTCCGAACCTCCACGTCACTGCCACATGCAGCCCGAGGGAGAGGAAGTGAAGTGCCCGCACGCTTCTCTCCTGGCCCCCAAAAATCCCAAGTGAAGTACAGGCAGCTCCCCTGCTCACCCCACCCTTCCCGCTGGTCTGAGGAAGGAGAAGTGCGATGCAGTTTTCCCCAAGGCAGCTTTATCTTCATTCCCCCACCCCCACTCCAGATTCAGAGCAAACTTGTTGGGACTTGGGTGACGTTCTGGGGGCCTCTCTCTGGGGAGCTGATAGGGAAAGAGGTCTCTGTTTAAAGAAAGAGGGACATGCTAAACAGAAGGGGGAGGATAAAAGTCTAAATTGAACTGTTAGCTGGTATAAAGTTAATAGCTGGTACTAGTACACTTCTAATCTAATGGTATTAATACATTTCTAATTAAGAGGTCAGGACAATGTTTTTAGTGCTAGAAAGCAAATTCAGACTAGATAGATATTAGCATGAAATGGTGTGCAGAGCACTACACAAGACTGCATCTGTGACTGGGGGTTCGCCAGCAGTGGGCTCAAACTGACTACAGAGCAAACAAAGTCTGACATGGGCTCCCTGGCTGGCGAATGGCTCAAGTGACACAACTCAGACATGCCAAATTAGAGGACATGGATTTACTCTGCCCTGTACCCAATTGCAAGTATCCTGAAAAAGAGCAGGAAAAATTATAGGAAGACACTGAGTGGAAACAGGCAATACAGCAATTCCTGGTGGCAGCGTCCGGTCAGATGTACTGACCGGATTCTAAAAGTCCAGTAACTGCAGGCAGCACAGGAGAGAGTGGCAGCCTGTCACCTGGCCCTGAAGTGGCAGCTCCCACAGCACCAGGCATGAACCAGCTTGGGCTGCCCCTTTGAGGAGCATGGTTTGCAGGGCTGCAGTGGAGGACAGAGTGTGGGGAGGAGGGGGGCTATGGCAAGGGGGTAAGGTGCTCCGAGCAGACATGGAATGTTCCCTGGAACAGAAGGAATGTGGACTGCTCCACCAGCCAGTGTTTCCCCAGCCAGCACTCTCAGGCAGCTCCAGGGCGGGGAGGACCCGTGCGGGTGGGGATGGGGATTGCTGGGCATCAGCGCACAGGGAGGTAGGAGGGCTGCATCCTAGTTCGCAAGCAGGGTGGCCTGGCTGCTCCCCTGCAGCTGCAGTGCTCTTCTGCACTCCCAGGCAGCCTGCTGAAGCTGGGGTTTGCACGTCCCTTGGGGCTGCTCACGCTGGAGTTGAGCAGGAGAGCAGTGAGCAATGAGGCCTGGGGGGGGGGAAGGCATGGGGCCAGTTTTCAGACTTAGAAAGTTGGCCACCCTAGTTACCAATTGAGTCGTTTTCCAACCCCCCCGTCCCTGAAAATTCGAACAGCCCCCTCCCCCATTTCAATTCCTGGGGAAAGAACACAGATGGGTGGAATTAATATGAAGGTACAGTTTTAATCTGGGTAGGCTCTTCCCTCCCTAGCTCTGCTACTCAGGAGAAGAGATAACAAAAGACCATGTTTGTGTTCAGAGCATAGCTGAAACCCCTGCTTGATTTCCAGCTATTGTTGTGGTGACTTATCATCTTGTTTCTTTCTCCCCTTCTCCCCCCTTTTATCATCTCCCCTGCTCCCACACCCCAAAAAAAAGGATACAAGGGAGGGAAACAGAGTTATTGGGTTTGAGGGAGTTGAGTGAAAGTCTATTGGGGAGAATGGGGAACCAGGAGGTCAGGGCAGGCAAAGGTTTAAGGCTACTAGGAGTAGGTAAATGGCTGTCATTCTCCCTGCACAGAAAGGCAAACAAATGGCTGGCAGATGAGGCACTGCATCATATTTTGCATAAAAAACACAGCAGCAGTAGTCAGAAGAAAGGGGCTGAATACAGAACTAGCTGGGGAAAGTCACATTCTCTGGATGGCTTGGCTTTGAAAGTTGCACTGCTCTAAGAACAGTAATGCTTTGTTCACAAAGGCTGCAATTTTCAGACAGGCTCAGATCCTGCAGGTGGGATCAACAAGATCTCAGTATGTTGGGTGATGAGTAATTTCTGAGAATCTAGCCATTATTGAGATCCCTAAATGGGAGCCAAGCTCTTTTGGAAAAATCTAGTCCCAATTTTGGGTGCTAAGCATTTGAAAATCTGGCCCTGAGTTCTTTTGAAAATCTGGCCCATAATGAGCAGAGGGTCCAGTTAACCTTTGATGACCTTGTTGCCTGAAATCTGCCGATCAATGCCTCGCTTTTCCTATGGACCTTCTGGGTCACATCGAGGGATTGCACTGCTCACATAGCTGTACATTAAAAAATAAAAACCAGGGTGCTGTACATTCAAAAATAAAAACCAGCAAACCATGAAGTTCTGAGTGGGGAGAGTATCACCTGACTGTTTAAAGGCCAGCTCCTTTCTCTGTTTATTTTAATGTAATGTTGGTACCATTAAATCATAGATTTCAAATATTAAAACAAATGTTTCATAAAATAAAATTAGCAATTTACTAATCCTAAGTGGCTTTACTTCCTGCTCCCTCCCCCCTCACCCATCATTCACATTTTCCTCCATAACTAGATGCTGCTTCAGTCTCTTTTAGGCCAATATTAGGAGAGTTTTGCCAATTTAACTATACATCTTCCTCCAAGAGATTTTCTTCACTGTTTTGGGCTCATTTATTTCCCTCTGTCCCACACCCCTCTTTTCTAAACATGTGTTAAGTTTCCTTCCCCACTTTGAACTCTAGGGTACAGATGTGGACTGTGAACCACTTTCCGCTGGTGTACTATGTTGGGATCCAGGCTCTGGCTGAGCCTCTTGTGTAGGGTATCTGCTACTGCCAGTGAAGGTTCGGTGGGGTCCTCTGGTGTTGGGGTTGCAAGCATTGGATTCAGTGCTGGCAATGGTCTGGTGCTGGTTGTTCTGCCAGTTCCGGTTCTGGGACTGGCTCTGTCTGGGTCTCTGGGACTGGATCCACTACTGCTGTTGCAGACATTGGCATGGGGTCCAGTTCCATCACCTCTGACCTGGTAGAAGTCTCCGGAACAGAGCTAGGTGTGACAGCTTGCTTAGCCTGGCTGCGGGTGACCATTCGCACCCTCTTGGCTAGCTTCACATGACTGGCCAAGTCTTCCCCCAACAACATTGGGATGGGATAATCAACATAGACTGCAAAAGTCCATGTTCCTGACCATCCCTTGTACTGGACTGGCAACTTGGCTGTAGGCAAGTCAAAAGAATTTGATTTGAAGGGTTGAATTGTCACTTGGACCTCTGGGTCGATTAAAATGGGGTCCACTAAGGAAGCGTGGATAGCCGACACTTGTGCTCCAGTGTCCCTCCACGCTGTGACCTTCTTCCCACCCACACTCACAGTTTCCCTCCGCTCTGAGGGTATCTGGGAGGCATGTGGGCCTGAGGACCTTTGGTGGGACCCCAGTGCAATGAACTGTAATCTGTTGGGGTTCTTGGGGCAGTTGGCCTTTACATGCCCCGGCTCATTACATTTAAAACATTGCCCAGCTGACTGGTCACTGGGGCGAGGTGGGTTGCTGGAGAACGGTGTGGTGGGACGATAAGGTGTCTGGAGTGTTCCTTGGGGTGTAGTTGGGGCCTTGGGTTGACCCCGGTAGTAGGGTGTGGTCTGAGGGTGTCCCTTCTGGTATCCGCTCCAACTGCGACCAGGGTTGTTCCTCTCTCCTCCCTCCACCCGTTTTGTTCCGGTTTGCCCCGCCTCTCTGGCGGTCTGGGACTGCTCGTATTGATCAGCATAAGAAGCAAGACTTCCTGCTGAGTCCATTTTCTTATCCCATAAACACTGTTTTATATCATCCTTGGACATATTCAGGAATTTCTCCTGTATCATCAAATCCTGCATTCCTCCAAAGCTAGTTACATCCTGTCCTTTGAGCCATTTATCAAACAGATCTGTCATCTGGGTTACATAAGCCACATTACTTAGTCCAGGTCCTCTCTTAAGGGCTCTAAATTTTACTCTGTAAGTTTCAGGTGTAACTTGAAATTGTTTTAAAACCAAATCCTTGAATTTATTATAGTCAGAAGCCTCCTCAATAGGCATCTTATTGAATAGGTCCAGAGCTCTTCCAGTCAATTTTGCGACCAACGTGGTCATCTTGTGAGCATCAGGAATTTTATGGAGTGTGCACAATTTCTCAAAGGTGAGAAAATATTCAGTAATATCACTGGATTTATCATACTGTGGACATAGTCGTTCCCATTTGTGGATTGTTGGGGAAGGATTGGTACGGTTATTCGGTATATTCTGCTGAGACTTTGCCTTCTCTATCTCCAGTGCATGCTTCCTCTCTTTTTCCCTCTCCGCCATTTCTTTTTCCTTTGCCTCCATTTTTTTTCTTTTGCCTCCATAGCTCTCTTGTGGCCAGCTTCTTCTGCCTCCACCCTGGCTTTTTTTTTGGCCGCTTGTGCATCAGTCTCCATCTATCTGAGTTCTACCCGTCTTTTATGTTCCTTCTGTCTTTCCTCAGCTTCCAATTTGGCTAATTCCAGTTTCTGTTGGACATTGCATTCTGTTATCCTAGCCTCTCTGTGTTTAATCTAGCTATATCCGAGAGTTAGAAAGAAAAAAAAAAAACCTGGCTTGCAAAATTTTGCTCTGCTGTAACCTGATACCTTTTGTCTCTGATGGCTTTTCTTAACCTACAGAAAAATCCTTTTGTTATGGAGCTACTCTATCCCCTAGGCAGAGAGACAGAAAAACTCCAAATGCTTTTAGCTTAAAACAGGCTTTCAAGC